CTGCGTGTGGGTGGGGGTCTCTGCACACGTGTGTGCACATTTGCGCGTGTGTGTGCACGTGTGTGTGCGCATGTGCACACGTCTGCATGTGTATGTGTACGTGTGTGCTCCGTGTGTGCGTGTGCACGTGTGTGTGCACGTGTGTGTGTGCATGTGCACACGTCTGCATGTGTATGTGTACATGTGTGCCTGTGTGTGCGTGTGCACGTGTGTGTGCATGTGCACACGTCTGCATGTGTATGTGTACATGTGTGCTCCTCTGTGTGTGTGCACATGTGTGTGCGTGTGTACATGTGTGCACGTGTGCGCACAAGTGTGTGTGTGTGTGTGCATGTGCACGTGTGTGCGTGCCTGTGCCTGCACGTGTGCGCGTGTGCATGCACGAGTGCGTGTGCGCGTGTATGTGTGCATGTATGCACACCTGTGTGCACGTGTGTGCATTTGTACGTGTGTGTGCACGTGTGTGCGTGTCTGTGTGTTCATGCATGCACATGCATGTGTGTGTGCATATGTGTGCATGCATGTGCATGCTTATACACGGGTGCATGTGCACACGTGTGTGTGTGCGCACGTGTGCAAGCATGCATATGTGTGTGCACCAGTGTGTGCACGACTCTGCCCGTGTGCATGCCCACGTGTTCCAGTGTGTGTGTGTGCAAGTGAGTGTGCACGTGCCTGTGCCCGTCTCAGTGCACATGCGAGCGTGCAACAGCTGTGTGCGCGCCCTGTGCCCATGTGCCGCTGCGGGAGGCCCCGTGCCCACGCGTGTCAGTGGGAGGCCCTGTGCACAAGCGTGCCGGGGCAGCGGGAGGCCCCGTGCCCACGCGTGTCAGTGGGAGGCCCTGTGCACAAGCGTGCCGGGGCAGCGGGAGGCCCCGTGCCCACGCGTGTCAGTGGGAGGCCCTGTGCACAAGCGTGCCGGGGCAGCGGGAGGCCCCGTGCCCACGCGTGTCAGTGGGAGGCCCTGTGCACAAGCGTGCCGGGGCAGCGGGAGGCCCCGTGCCCACGCGTGTCAGTGGGAGGCCCTGTGCACAAGCGTGCCGGGGCAGCGGGAGGCCCCGTGCCCACGCGTGTCAGTGGGAGGCCCTGTGCACAAGCGTGCCGGGGCAGCGGGAGGCCCCGTGCCCACGCGTGTCAGTGGGAGGCCCTGTGCACAAGCGTGCCGGGGCAGCGGGAGGCCCCGTGCCCACGCGTGTCAGTGGGAGGCCCTGTGCACAAGCGTGCCGGGGCAGCGGGAGGCCCCGTGCCCACGCGTGTCAGTGGGAGGCCCTGTGCACAAGCGTGCCGGGGCAGCGGGAGGCCCCGTGCCCACGCGTGTCAGTGGGAGGCCCTGTGCACAAGCGTGCCGGGGCAGCGGGAGGCCCCGTGCCCACGCGTGTCAGTGGGAGGCCCTGTGCACAAGCGTGCCGGGGCAGCGGGAGGCCCCGTGCCCACGCGTGTCAGTGGGAGGCCCTGTGCACAAGCGTGCCGGGGCAGCGGGAGGCCCCGTGCCCACGCGTGTCAGTGGGAGGCCCTGTGCACAAGCGTGCCGGGGCAGCGGGAGGCCCCGTGCCCACGCGTGTCAGTGGGAGGCCCTGTGCACAAGCGTGCCGGGGCAGCGGGAGGCCCCGTGCCCACGCGTGTCAGTGGGAGGCCCTGTGCACAAGCGTGCCGGGGCAGCGGGAGGCCCCGTGCCCACGCGTGTCAGTGGGAGGCCCTGTGCACAAGCGTGCCGGGGCAGCGGGAGGCCCCGTGCCCACGCGTGTCAGTGGGAGGCCCTGTGCACAAGCGTGCCGGGGCAGCGGGAGGCCCCGTGCCCACGCGTGTCAGTGGGAGGCCCTGTGCACAAGCGTGCCGGGGCAGCGGGAGGCCCCGTGCCCACGCGTGTCAGTGGGAGGCCCTGTGCACAAGCGTGCCGGGGCAGCGGGAGGCCCCGTGCCCACGCGTGTCAGTGGGAGGCCCTGTGCACAAGCGTGCCGGGGCAGCGGGAGGCCCCGTGCCCACGCGTGTCAGTGGGAGGCCCTGTGCACAAGCGTGCCGGGGCAGCGGGAGGCCCCGTGCCCACGCGTGTCAGTGGGAGGCCCTGTGCACAAGCGTGCCGGGGCAGCGGGAGGCCCCGTGCCCACGCGTGTCAGTGGGAGGCCCTGTGCACAAGCGTGCCGGGGCAGCGGGAGGCCCCGTGCCCACGCGTGTCAGTGGGAGGCCCTGTGCACAAGCGTGCCGGGGCAGCGGGAGGCCCCGTGCCCACGCGTGTCAGTGGGAGGCCCTGTGCACAAGCGTGCCGGGGCAGCGGGAGGCCCCGTGCCCACGCGTGTCAGTGGGAGGCCCTGTGCACAAGCGTGCCGGGGCAGCGGGAGGCCCCGTGCCCACGCGTGTCAGTGGGAGGCCCTGTGCACAAGCGTGCCGGGGCAGCGGGAGGCCCCGTGCCCACGCGTGTCAGTGGGAGGCCCTGTGCACAAGCGTGCCGGGGCAGCGGGAGGCCCCGTGCCCACGCGTGTCAGTGGGAGGCCCTGTGCACAAGCGTGCCGGGGCAGCGGGAGGCCCCGTGCCCACGCGTGTCAGTGGGAGGCCCTGTGCACAAGCGTGCCGGGGCAGCGGGAGGCCCCGTGCCCACGCGTGTCAGTGGGAGGCCCTGTGCACAAGCGTGCCGGGGCAGCGGGAGGCCCCGTGCCCACGCGTGTCAGTGGGAGGCCCTGTGCACAAGCGTGCCGGGGCAGCGGGAGGCCCCGTGCCCACGCGTGTCAGTGGGAGGCCCTGTGCACAAGCGTGCCGGGGCAGCGGGAGGCCCCGTGCCCACGCGTGTCAGTGGGAGGCCCTGTGCACAAGCGTGCCGGGGCAGCGGGAGGCCCCGTGCCCACGCGTGTCAGTGGGAGGCCCTGTGCACAAGCGTGCCGGGGCAGCGGGAGGCCCCGTGCCCACGCGTGTCAGTGGGAGGCCCTGTGCACAAGCGTGCCGGGGCAGCGGGAGGCCCCGTGCCCACGCGTGTCAGTGGGAGGCCCTGTGCACAAGCGTGCCGGGGCAGCGGGAGGCCCCGTGCCCACGCGTGTCAGTGGGAGGCCCTGTGCACAAGCGTGCCGGGGCAGCGGGAGGCCCCGTGCCCACGCGTGTCAGTGGGAGGCCCTGTGCACAAGCGTGCCGGGGCAGCGGGAGGCCCCGTGCCCACGCGTGTCAGTGGGAGGCCCTGTGCACAAGCGTGCCGGGGCAGCGGGAGGCCCCGTGCCCACGCGTGTCAGTGGGAGGCCCTGTGCACAAGCGTGCCGGGGCAGCGGGAGGCCCCGTGCCCACGCGTGTCAGTGGGAGGCCCTGTGCACAAGCGTGCCGGGGCAGCGGGAGGCCCCGTGCCCACGCGTGTCAGTGGGAGGCCCTGTGCACAAGCGTGCCGGGGCAGCGGGAGGCCCCGTGCCCACGCGTGTCAGTGGGAGGCCCTGTGCACAAGCGTGCCGGGGCAGCGGGAGGCCCCGTGCCCACGCGTGTCAGTGGGAGGCCCTGTGCACAAGCGTGCCGGGGCAGCGGGAGGCCCCGTGCCCACGCGTGTCAGTGGGAGGCCCTGTGCACAAGCGTGCCGGGGCAGCGGGAGGCCCCGTGCCCACGCGTGTCAGTGGGAGGCCCTGTGCACAAGCGTGCCGGGGCAGCGGGAGGCCCCGTGCCCACGCGTGTCAGTGGGAGGCCCTGTGCACAAGCGTGCCGGGGCAGCGGGAGGCCCCGTGCCCACGCGTGTCAGTGGGAGGCCCTGTGCACAAGCGTGCCGGGGCAGCGGGAGGCCCCGTGCCCACGCGTGTCAGTGGGAGGCCCTGTGCACAAGCGTGCCGGGGCAGCGGGAGGCCCCGTGCCCACGCGTGTCAGTGGGAGGCCCTGTGCACAAGCGTGCCGGGGCAGCGGGAGGCCCCGTGCCCACGCGTGTCAGTGGGAGGCCCTGTGCACAAGCGTGCCGGGGCAGCGGGAGGCCCCGTGCCCACGCGTGTCAGTGGGAGGCCCTGTGCACAAGCGTGCCGGGGCAGCGGGAGGCCCCGTGCCCACGCGTGTCAGTGGGAGGCCCTGTGCACAAGCGTGCCGGGGCAGCGGGAGGCCCCGTGCCCACGCGTGTCAGTGGGAGGCCCTGTGCACAAGCGTGCCGGGGCAGCGGGAGGCCCCGTGCCCACGCGTGTCAGTGGGAGGCCCTGTGCACAAGCGTGCCGGGGCAGCGGGAGGCCCCGTGCCCACGCGTGTCAGTGGGAGGCCCTGTGCACAAGCGTGCCGGGGCAGCGGGAGGCCCCGTGCCCACGCGTGTCAGTGGGAGGCCCTGTGCACAAGCGTGCCGGGGCAGCGGGAGGCCCCGTGCCCACGCGTGTCAGTGGGAGGCCCTGTGCACAAGCGTGCCGGGGCAGCGGGAGGCCCCGTGCCCACGCGTGTCAGTGGGAGGCCCTGTGCACAAGCGTGCCGGGGCAGCGGGAGGCCCCGTGCCCACGCGTGTCAGTGGGAGGCCCTGTGCACAAGCGTGCCGGGGCAGCGGGAGGCCCCGTGCCCACGCGTGTCAGTGGGAGGCCCTGTGCACAAGCGTGCCGGGGCAGCGGGAGGCCCCGTGCCCACGCGTGTCAGTGGGAGGCCCTGTGCACAAGCGTGCCGGGGCAGCGGGAGGCCCCGTGCCCACGCGTGTCAGTGGGAGGCCCTGTGCACAAGCGTGCCGGGGCAGCGGGAGGCCCCGTGCCCACGCGTGTCAGTGGGAGGCCCTGTGCACAAGCGTGCCGGGGCAGCGGGAGGCCCCGTGCCCACGCGTGTCAGTGGGAGGCCCTGTGCACAAGCGTGCCGGGGCAGCGGGAGGCCCCGTGCCCACGCGTGTCAGTGGGAGGCCCTGTGCACAAGCGTGCCGGGGCAGCGGGAGGCCCCGTGCCCACGCGTGTCAGTGGGAGGCCCTGTGCACAAGCGTGCCGGGGCAGCGGGAGGCCCCGTGCCCACGCGTGTCAGTGGGAGGCCCTGTGCACAAGCGTGCCGGGGCAGCGGGAGGCCCCGTGCCCACGCGTGTCAGTGGGAGGCCCTGTGCACAAGCGTGCCGGGGCAGCGGGAGGCCCCGTGCCCACGCGTGTCAGTGGGAGGCCCTGTGCACAAGCGTGCCGGGGCAGCGGGAGGCCCCGTGCCCACGCGTGTCAGTGGGAGGCCCTGTGCACAAGCGTGCCGGGGCAGCGGGAGGCCCCGTGCCCACGCGTGTCAGTGGGAGGCCCTGTGCACAAGCGTGCCGGGGCAGCGGGAGGCCCCGTGCCCACGCGTGTCAGTGGGAGGCCCTGTGCACAAGCGTGCCGGGGCAGCGGGAGGCCCCGTGCCCACGCGTGTCAGTGGGAGGCCCTGTGCACAAGCGTGCCGGGGCAGCGGGAGGCCCCGTGCCCACGCGTGTCAGTGGGAGGCCCTGTGCACAAGCGTGCCGGGGCAGCGGGAGGCCCCGTGCCCACGCGTGTCAGTGGGAGGCCCTGTGCACAAGCGTGCCGGGGCAGCGGGAGGCCCCGTGCCCACGCGTGTCAGTGGGAGGCCCTGTGCACAAGCGTGCCGGGGCAGCGGGAGGCCCCGTGCCCACGCGTGTCAGTGGGAGGCCCTGTGCACAAGCGTGCCGGGGCAGCGGGAGGCCCCGTGCCCACGCGTGTCAGTGGGAGGCCCTGTGCACAAGCGTGCCGGGGCAGCGGGAGGCCCCGTGCCCACGCGTGTCAGTGGGAGGCCCTGTGCACAAGCGTGCCGGGGCAGCGGGAGGCCCCGTGCCCACGCGTGTCAGTGGGAGGCCCTGTGCACAAGCG